CTCAATGGCGAGCTACGATAAGAAGCGTAGTTGCCTCCAATATGATTTCCATTTGGCAGAGTGTTCATAGTATAAGTTTACTAGGGTTCGTATTTAAAAAGCGCGACAAAAAGGAAAATAATAGGAATTTGGTTGATAATGAAAGGTCTAGAGTAACAGAAAAAAGTCAAATTTCTACCGAAAATGAATGAGAAATAAAAAAACAACCAGGCTTTGAAATCTCTTACTTTAACACTGCGTTTTTTGGGTCCTGTCAATAAATTTTCCATCAAAAAAAAAGCTCACGAAGTTAAAATGTAAACACGGTTTTTATATCACAAAGAAGTTCACGTGATTTGAAGGTTTTCTATCTTCTAGAAGTTGCTGTGATTATCAGAAAGAACCCCGATTATTTTCATTCGAAAATGTTAAAATTGTAAGAACGCGATAATGAGAAACAAAAAATTCATTGATTACATCTACGACAACGGCTTTAGGCTTATCGTTTTAATAGATAGATAATCAGAACAATTGAATTTTACTCGTCAAAGAAATCAGAATTGTCAACACGAAGGGATAGAGATAAATAATTTTAGGTAATGCAATAAAATCATTATCACTTATTATTAGGTTACACAAGAATCGATTCCGTCGAATAAAACCATAGTTTAATTAATGAATTTATTTCTAAAATTATATAAAAATACAATCAATAATGTTCGTTATGACGTGTATCACACTTGATGTCCAATGATATAGCAAATGTAGTGATCATACCCGTCACACTGTAGATTTTCTTGACTTTTAGACACACTATTATTTACTCCCTTTTATTTATTATAACCACCTCCTCTAACCAATAATTAAAATGTCTGAAGATGGTGACTCAGAAGATAATTTCGGACCCCTTGAACCAACTCTAAAAAATGTGCTTGAACAAGAATCTTTACATTGGATATTTGTTGGAGGGAAAGGAGGTGTTGGTAAGTTGCTCGTAGGTTTGTTTCTCTTGAAGAATTATCAATTGATTGAATGCTTTTTTTTTTTTGCTTAAAGGCAAAACCACTACCTCCTGCTCGCTCGCTGTACAACTTAGTAAAGTTAGAGATTCCGTTCTGTTGATATCGACTGACCCTGCTCACAATCTGAGTGACGCTTTTGGACAAAAATTCAGCAAGGAAGCAACACAAGTTCACGGAATTAGTAATTTATTTGCAATGGTAAGTGAGTACATGATAGACTTTTTTTTAGCATAATTAAAAAGGATAAAAAAATTTACTCTCTGAATTTATTATTTTTAGGAAATTGACCCTACATCTTCAATTCAAGAGATGTTAGATCAATGTAAATATGAATTTGCGAGACTCTGAAAAATTCGTGAGAATTCTAAAATAATTTTTTAATTAATTAGCTGAACAACAAGGAGGTGCAATGGGTTCGATGATGCAGGATTTAGCATTTGCCATTCCTGGTGTTGATGAAGCTATGGGTTTCGCCGAAGTTATGAAGTAGGTGATATAAATTCGAATTTTTATTTAATTTAATTTAAAAATATTACAATAACCTATCTGTCATAAAATAGACAAGTAAAAACAATGGAATATTCTGTCATTATCTTTGATACTGCACCCACCGGACACACATTACGATTCTTGAGTTTTCCAAGCGTGCTTGAAAAAGCTTTGGCAAAAATTTCGGAATTAAGTGGGCGATTTGGTCCAATGTTTCAACAAGTGAATTCATCTCTTTAATTTTCGCCTCATCTTATTTATTATTCTTCCATGCAAAAAATCAATGATTTATTTTCTTCTCGTTTCAAGATGTCAGGTATGATGGGATTAAATGCTAATCAGGAAGATATGTTTGGTAAGCTTGAAGGAATGCGAGCTATCATCCAGGAAGTCAACAATCAATTTAAGGATCCTGTAAGTTTTTCAAACAATGGATTTTTATTTTTTAATATTTATTTTCTCATTTGGATCGATAATTCTTCCATGCAAAAATAATTTAGGATAAGACGACATTTATCTGTGTGTGTATTTCTGAATTTTTGTCTCTTTATGAGACAGAACGAATGATTCAAGAATTGACATCATATCACATTGATACTCATAATATTGTAGTAAATCAACTGCTATTTCCAAAAAAAGGTACGTAAATTGAGAAAACTACTTTTTCCTTTTTGTTTCGATTCAATTTAATTTTTTTTTTTTACTTTTATCGAAGATTCGAACTGTGAGCAATGTCTAGTACGGCATAGGATGCAGCGAAAATATTTAGACCAAATTTATGATTTATATGAAGATTTCCACATTGTTCTAATGCCACTTTTGACAAAAGAAATACGTGGCACTCAAGATATAACAGAATTTTCTGAAATGTTAGTGAACCCTTTTAAAGCACCTGATGAACAAACCAATGAAGATGTTCCAATGCCCTCCTGAGTTAACGAAGGATCAGATATTGACATAACTGAAAAATTCAAAACATTCTTTAATTTCCGAATTTAGTCTGGGCCAAAATCGTCATCCTTTCTATTTATTTTTTATTAATTCAGATCCAGATTATACATATAATTCAATACTGCGATGATGATAACGATGATGATGATAAACAGTAGTAGTAGTAGCAGTGATAGTGGTAGTGGTAGTGGTGGTAGTAGTAGTAGTAGTAGTAATGCAAGATCATAAATATATTTAAATATTAATATATTAGATGCACAGGGTGCACAAATAACAGATATAACAAATCATTTTGAACAACCGAATAACGATAATACAATGTATGTACCATCGATAAATTCACTTAAAAATGCTTTCTATAATGCAAAATCAAAAAGTCTCAGGTCTAATCAACGCATTGATTTAGCAAAGAATCTCAAATATTCAACTTTCCCAAGAAATAACGAATTGCTGCGATTCAATAAACTATCGAGTTACTATACATTACCACAGAAAATCAACAATCATCATAATCGACAATATGGTAAAGATTATACGACTTATAATAACTCTTCAATTCCAAAAATCAGGAATATCACAACATCTGTTGATGATTTAATAGTGAATTGGAGTGATAATACAGATTCACGTTATAATTATATTTGGCTTCGTGATAATTGTAATTGTGCAGAATGTATTCACCCAACGAGTCGTCAGAAATTACATTCGAGTGCACAAATACCATTAAATATAGAGCCAATATCAACTATGATGTATGATGAAGGGATTGAAATTTTATGGGGGAAAGAATTATTGAAAAATATATCGATTTCACCATCGATTTCTTCGAAAAATGCAATACACCATAAAAGCCTTTTCACCCAAAATTTTCTTCACTCTTACAAATCAAAACGGAATATCTCGTCGAAGAGACTTAACAACTTACCCGTTTCTCATTGGGATGCAGCTCTAATACGATCTAAAAATTTATGGGTCGAATATGATCACTTCATCAGTTATGATCGAGTATTATTACATGCATTAATACAAATATGGAAGTATGGATTAGTTTTCCTCAGAAATGTCCCAGAATTTAATTCGTTAGATGGAAAAGCGGGAATAATTAAGGTAGTGGAACGAATCGGATCATTGCAAAATACTATTTATGGCAACATATGGGATGTCAAAAGTATTCCGGATTCGCGAAATATTGCTTATACGGCATTAGAATTAGGATTACATATGGATTTATTGTACTATGAGGCATCGCCCGGACTGCAATTTCTTCACTGTCTTAAGAATACAGTGAATGGAGGACAAAGTACTTTCGCTGACTCTTTTATGGCGGTCACTCGTCTACAACAACAACATCCAAAAGATTACGAGATATTGACCAAAGTTCCTATGACATTTCATTATATCAATGATGGACATTTCATGCATTTCAATCGACCTGTAATCGTAGTAGATCAAGCAAACGATTCTATGGTGGTAAACTATTCACCTCCATTCCAGGGGCCAATTGAGATTGGATTTGATAATGATGATGATGATGATGATGATGGAAAAATAACAATGAAGGAATTTTATCGTGCATTTCAACAATTTTCATCACTTGTCGAAGCCCCGGAATCACGATTTGAGTTATTGTTAAAACCTGGTGAATTAACGATTTTTGTTAATCGTCGAGTATTGCATGGTAGACGAAGATTTGATGCTAAAAGTGGTGAAAGGCATTTAAAAGGAGCTTATTTGGATATGTCGGAATTCAAAGATCGGCTTAGAACTTTGTTAATGAATGAATAACAATGTGTACTAGAAATCATTTTTGAATTTATCTTTATTAGTTTGGTAGTTTTGTTCTTTTTCTTTTCCTTTTTTTGGAATGTGTTTTAATGTTATCGTCATTGTTGTTATTATTATCAGCATCTTTCGTATTAATATCAGCATCTTTCGTATTAATATCAGCATCTTTCGTATTAATATCAATATTGGTATTGGATGTTTCTTTGTTATTAATCTTACTAAAATAAAAATAAAAGAAATCAAATTCAAAGCTTAAATAAAGTAATTATAATGAATGAATAAATTCATACCACTTATCAATAATGGACTTTTCGTCTTGATCATCGATAATTTTTCGTTTCCTGTTAGTTGATTCATTTTGATAATTATATTGATTTCTCGCTCTTACAAAATTTCTATATAGAATTTTTTTTGCAGATAACATGTTTGATGTTGATTGGATATTATCTGTATTAATAATTTCCATTTTATTTACGTCTTCAAAATCAAACCCAGCTCCATTTATAGATCCTTCCTTATATCCCAGTTCATCGTCTTTATTCTTCACATTCAAGATTTGATTTGATTTAACATTACTATTATTATTATTATTATTATGATTATTTGTTGAATACAAAGATTCACTTGTGCTAATTATTCCAGTTCTGGTACGTGGGGGACCAGTATCTTTTTTATTGATCTTCGTCAGTTTTACATGCTATTTAGGATTGTTCGAAAAATATAAATAAAAGTTATAGAATTCACTAAGCAAAAGAAAAGAATATATTTCTTTACCCCATCGTATGAATTTCTTCCTTTATCCTCATCATTGTTTACACGTACAATTTTAAGATTATTTAATGCGTCATTATATATCTGATCCCACCACGCGAAGCCCCAATCTTCGCTACTTTGTCCAAGCTTTACAGTAAAAATAAAAGTTATTTATAAATTTGGATTTAAATTTTTAGCCAAATACAGTCGTCCTTCTTTTTAAGAACATTTTTTGCAAAAGTTTTGTGTTCTCAAAAGAAGGGACGACTGTAGTCAAATCAATACTCACCCCATTCGTATCATTCTTTATTTTAGCTTGCACAGCTCTTGTTCGACCTTCTTCATTCTTCCCTAAGCCCTTTCCAGCACTCCATCCGTATTTTTTTAACTGTGATTCTGCAAAGTTGAATGCCATGTTTTTACATTTTTTTAAATGAGTCATCAAAAATCAGTAGGAGCTAATGACGGTCACGGGAACCGCCTAAAAATTTCCTAATTCGGCTGGAATTAACAACGTTCTTGATAATTCTGGTCGATGCATTAACCTTTATGTGGATTGTGTTATGGTAATCGGAGTTTAAACATATTTGCATGAACTTATGTGATTCTTTGGGGGATGGGGTTGTTGTCGATCATCAGGAGCTACAAGATTATGATATCTTATGACTTATCTTGATCAGGTGGGGGTGTCTCTCTAATAAATAAAAATCACCTGATATTTGGCGCTCCCCTAACGGATCTCCTTATACCGAATGAAATTTACCAATAACTGGTGACCCAGATTCTGCCGGATAATCAATCATCCGTTGACGTATGCGTACATATTATATTTATTAAAGAACATCTGGCGTTTAACCATATTAAATATTATAATATACATTGTATTGCGTCATATTCAGGTCGAAATCAAACGATTTCTCAATGATCAGGGCGCTGAACCATATATAGTCTGCTATTGATTTCATTTATGTAAAAAATAAACACGATATATGATTAATTATCCAAAACCAATGCATGTCTCATTTGCCCTATACGCCAATCACAATAATATTCGAAGAATTTCATACGCCAATCGCAATGTACGCCCTATAGGAATTCCAATACTAACAATTCCACTAGATTTTCTTAAGAGCCTGATCGCTTATTAACACTCACACTAGTCATTATAAAATATATTCATAATGTGAAGAAATCCGTTGACAGTATTAAAAACATTACATGACGTGACATTAGACTAATTTATAAAGTTGAATATTTGTTTGTTGTCTTTTTTGGCATTTTGACTTATAGACTCAATATTTAAAAAAGAAATTTAGAATGATATTTATCCATTCTTGATACCTATGTTTGAAAATGTATATTGTCAAGTAGTGTTTACTTCTCCAAAAATACTATGGTTAGCCAATGAATAATACTTTTCAAATTTATTATAAAAATACTAATAATTGGTCATTTACGTAACCTTAAGTTTATATATGAATTGAGAATACAATTGTCGATATTAAAACCTCTCATTTGTCAGTATCATATCACTGCTTGAAGCACCCTTCCGTAGAAAATTTAGACTTGATTTGTTTCAGTAAACAATTTTTTTCTGCCAAATGAATAATAACTCAAGATTAACGGTGCAATCTCTTATTACTATAGAAAATGTAGCTTTTGTGGGTGGATTTATTTGAATGGTATTTTTTGTATCAATTCTATTATGTAATCGAATTTAAAATGTTTTCTATTGGAGCAAATTTTTCCGGAGTAACACGTAAAACCCCCATTTTTTTTTGGTTAAAATCTCGTTCCTGCATGGTGATTTCGTGTTTTTTCATACAGATAGAAAACCCTGCATATACATTAATGCGGGAAACCCGAGTGATCACCGAATCATTTTTATTTTAAAATATATCATTGTAGATCTTATTTTAGTGAGCATATAGCGATAGACGTATTTTCTCTCTCAAAAAGAATTTGTGTAATTTTCAATCGAATTAAAATTTGTTTCTCGAGAAAACTAGATTTTAATAAATACAATATGAAAGAGGCATATATATATACACACACACTTGAAATTATCATTTCGAAAATGCATGCAACACAATTTTGTTAATACGTGGGACCTTTTTAGGATAAAAAACCAAAAAAGGAGTTTGGCTAAAAGAAGTCATGTAGATCATATTGAAACTAACAACAAAAAGAAAAAATAAAGAAATAGAGGATATAAAAAACGAAGAAATCTACAATTGTGTGTTTTGTGTGTGAATTAACCTTATTTATAAAAAGAAACACGAAATAATATTGATAATCAAGAATTCATAAGTAGTAATCATAAAAAAAGAAAACGAAAGAATAAATATGTTCCTCTAAATTCGCGCACAATGGATGAGATTAAAATGGGAACAACGAGAATTAATCGGAGTGATGTTATTTCAATCGGCTCAAATGGCGTTATATTTTTTCATGATGATATGTACATGGCATCGAAAAAACTAAAAATTAGAAACATAATGAGTTTTAATCTTATATACATGTTTTTGTGGATTGGAGATATATGAATTCGTGTTAAATTTTTGTTTTTAGGAGAAAATCGAACGAAAATTAGCCACTATTATTCTATGATACTATTGTGTTTCTGTATAATAGAATTAACCAGAACGAAAACGAGATAAAAGTGGTGGATATCAATAATTTTGAGACTTTGCACGGGGAATTTTTGCTACTAATAATGAATAATAACGCTATTAAAAGAATCTGATTTTCGGCAGTTTCAGTAAAGAACCATATGATCATTAGCTGCCGGTTGTTCCCTTGCTATTACTGTCGTTGTCATTGTCATTGCTGTTGCTGTTATCATTGCATCCTTTAACAAGAATGTGTCGTTTTAATGCATCTTTTCGGCTAAATTGTTTCTCACAGTATGGACACGGATATGGTTTCACGGCCAAATGAATTCTCTTGTGGCGTTTTAAATCATGATTCCTGTTAAAACCTAAAAATAAACATTTCGATGATTAATATTGCTTGAAGAATCGGCTGATTATTTCTGCATAATGCATCTGTAAACAACAAAAAAATTCCGTAAGTTACTTACTTTGTGGGCATTGATCGCATTTGAATGGACGATCATATAATGGCAATCGTGAATAGTAACTTCTTGGTGGACCACTATAAGAGAATTGTGGTTTGGTTGGCGTTGCAGTCGCGGCAGCGACAGTAGTAGTATTATTACTATTGATCTTGCTGGAATTCATAGATTTAGGAGAGTTACCACTGGTAGTAGCAGTATTTATATTTTGCTTTGGGAGTGTCCAGCGAGATTCGATCATTGGCGCATGATGATGAGGTGGTGGTGATGGTGATGATAATGATGATGATGATCGCTTATCCATGCTTAATACCCCCGATATAGATGCTTGTATTGGAGAAGTAGTTGTTAATGAACGTAAAATATTAACGTTAATTGATGAATTCAGATCATAATTGTCTTCTGTTGTTGGAATTATTGTATTCGTATTGTTATTAATAAGATGATGTTGATTAGGTTGACACTGTAATTGTTGATGTTGACGATGATTTGACATCGGAACTACTCCTGAATACGTATATCGTTGAGGTATGAAACTAGTCCCAAAATTATTCATTCCGATCATTTTTGGCAATGTTGAAGAATTATTATTATTGTTGTTACTATTACTGCTATTATCGTTATTGTTATCGTTATTGTTATTATTGTTATCGTTATTGTTAGTATTATTATTACAAGTATTATTGTTATTATTATTATTCTCCGCCGAAGAGTTAGAGGAATTGATAGTATAATTTTGATGCAATGGATTATCAAAATGTGGAAGTGGATAATAATTACTTGAATGCAAAGAAGATGGGACGATAATCGGGGAGAATGGTGACAGAGAAGACGCGTTTGCCATAGTTTGAATATTATAATAATGGGGATCGAGAGGTGGTTCAACAAACGCGGGTGTCATATTCGAAGTTATCGAAGTATTTGGCAATGAGCTTGTCGCCCCAGTCGACGTGATCAATGGCAAAAAAGTATTTGCCACGTTATTAGTAGCTGTCATTAAATTATCATTAAATGACCGCGTCGTCGTATTTATTGCCATCAGATTTATAGGTGGAATATTTGGGTTATTGTTGACATTATTGTTATTGTTATTGTTGTTATTATTATTATTATTATTTATGGTGGTAGTTGACGACGTCGTAGTATTATTATCAGGAATATTTTGGTATATTTGTAAATGTTGTTGTTCTCGTTGTATTACTGATAATTCTTTACTTTCAGTCTTTTCTTGTTCTCCTATTACTCTTTGCTCTTGGTGAATTCCTGAAGCATTAATAGCAGTAGTAGTATGCGAAGAGGAGGACGAAGGTTGTAGTTGGCGAAGAGTTGTATTATTCATTCCGTCATAGATATTTGTATTAGTAGTAGTGTTATTATAATTATTACTATTACTACTATAACTATTTGATGATGACGATGATGATGTTGTAGTAACAGGCCAATTTGAAAAATTCAAAAAAGAATTTTGCAAGATAGGAACAGTTGAACACGATCGTACAGTGTTATTGGATAGAGTTGTAGTATTCGTAGTGTTACTTAATGTCGTCGGTGTTAATAAAGGAGAAAAAGTGGAAAAATTTGCTGTTGTATTTGCCAAAGAGTTTCGTGTAACAACTTGACAAAAAAGGTCTTCGTGGACGAAAGGAATTGTATATTCGAGCTGCTGTTTTTGTTGATCACTATTACCAAAATCTTCATTGTCGAAACTTAGAGAAATGGTTGAAGATGATGACGTCAACGACATGGGAAACGATTGGTCGACGACACCAATCGTTTTCAAATCGAAATATTTTATATTACTTAATGATAATGATGATGACGAATATGATAAATCGGTCGGAGTTAACGAATAGTGTATTAGTAACGACGGATCAGAATGTTCATAATAGCTTGATATATCAAACTCTGGTGACGAAGAATAGTCCGGAAAAATTGTGGATGGCATGATTAATGATGATATTAATTGACGATAAATAGATGACATGTATTCGTAACATTCGTTGAAGTGAAGAAGAGGGGTAGGACCCTCGTTGGTTTCTTTTTATATACACAAAAAGTGTGATTGAAATTTTTTTATTTCCAAACCGAACGTGAAGATGTAAAAGGAAAGGTCCCTTTTATAATATTATCACACTGACCCCAAAAATTTAATTTTACACTCGTGGTTGTCTGTGTCTTAGTTTAATATAATTATATCAATCTCATATTTAAATGTATTATAAATAAATAAATAAAAGATTTTGCTTATTGTAAGGGACAAACCCGATAAGTAACAAAAAATATATACTGTGTAATGTTTATTTTCATATATCTGCATATTGCCTGCATGATGACGAAATATCAATCATGAAAAACGAATTATGTAAAAATCTGCAATATTTATTTAGCAATATAAACATTATTGCAAAATTAATTTAAGTTATATATATGCATGATCTGCACAATTTTGGCCAAAATTTTCACATAATCCGTCTTTTATTATGATCTCCCACATTTATTTATTTTGCCAGCGTTTATTACATAATATTTGTCTTTATTTTCATGTATGCTAAATTATATGCTATATCATTAATTTATAAATTATCATTCAATTAGCAAAATGCATTCGAAATTTCTGTTAATACTATAACTCGAAAAAAGTAATTAATAAATTTGAACAAATTATATATAGTAAACTTTTTAATATACATATTATACACATAATAAATTAAATATAATTATTTGTTTTAGCTATATTATGATTATATTTTTATATTTTTATTAGTAAGTGAATATTCATATAATTAATTGAATAATTATATTGGTGATTATATTTAATATATAACATAAAAAATGCAATAAAAAAATGCAATAATATTAAAATTTGTTAAAAATACAAATTTTTCTCTATATAATCAAATAAAGATCAGCTTTTATATTTTAATATAAATTTTTAGATACTTTGAACTTGAATTAAAATTTGTTTTCTAAGCAAAGTTATTAAATAATTTTTATTAGTTAATTGATAATTTAAATTTTAAAATATCTAAATAAAATTTAAAATTTGATCTTTATTTTAATTAGAATTAAAAAAAAATATTTATAAAATCTATAAGATAATAAATATATAATTGAATTTATTAATATATTAAAGCAAACTCTGATTTTGAAATATTTCAATTTGTTATATTTTTAATAGTAAATATTTGTAATTGGCTATATTTTTAGTAACAAATAAATTTTGCAATATAATAAAAGTATTTTTCTTTATAATTATTCTATTTATAATAATATTATATAAAAACTTTATTATAATTACTTTTTTATAATTACTATTTTTAAAAAATCAAAATTGAATAATTATAAGAAGAGTGTGACTATAAAAATTTTTTTATTATATTTATATATAAATAGAAAAGCAAAAATAAGATAACTAAAAAGATTAACTATAAATAAATATAATTATAGAGCAAAATTTAACTATAATAATAATAAAAATATTTTGTCTAATAAATAAATTATTTAGAATAATAAATTATAAAGTATAAATATAAATTAATATAATTATTTTGTATTTATTTATATTTAATCAAACTTTAAGTTTAAATTTAATAATAATATTATTATTTAAATTTGTATTATCAATATTTAAAAAAGTATTATTTATGATATTCTTTTGTAAAAATCTTGTTACTAAATTTAAAATTATTAATTTAGTAATAAAAAGTTTCGCATTAAGAAGCTTGGTTTTATATGAACCAACTTGTAAGTTAATTTCAAATTTTTTATTACAAAAAAATAACAAATTGAACTTTAGTTTTTAAAAATATATAACCAATATATTATTATATTTTTACTAATTTACTTTGTAAAAAAAATAATTGGTTTCATTAAAGAAAATCGAACTAAATTTAAATTTAATTTTTTACACAATGAAAATCAATATAATATTTATAGCTGATTTTAAAAATAATTTGTTATACATAGGTTGAATTTGTTTTTTTTATTTTGTTGTTCTTAAAAATAATCAATTTTATGATCAATAAAATTTGATTAAAATAAAGCCATTATAATTGTGATTGATTTATTTTTTAATAATTTGATATTTCGATTGATAAATCAAAATAATATTTAAAATCATTAATTTTTTCAATTGAAAAACTATTTTAAGAAACAAATTTGTGATACCCGGATATAGTAGAAATTTTTCTAGAATAAATATATTATCACAAATTTTTGTAAAATACTCTCCGTGTAATATATCCCCCTTACATCCCCTTTGTACTATATCTCACATCATACATCATACAGCGTAGAATGTAAGAGTTCGCACTTACAAAATACGGCAATTCAATTTTATTTATTCTTGAAACTATTGGTAATTATAAAAAAGAAAAAGTGTCATTTAAGTGCTTATTTCTTTGTGGCGCGGCAGGGACGGGATTAAGTGCATGTAATGACAATCCGTTTTAGATTTTATAAAACATTATCTGACTAATAATGGCATAACCGTATCCCATTACTAAACTCGCGAAGCTTAAATCTCAGAATGACATCATGCTCACTTTATTGCAGTACGCCCGCTTTATCGAGATAGCAAACGACAGCAAAATTGTAAATTGTAAAAGCCGTCGTAGTAGTACCATTACTAATGACAATTAAAAAAACGCATCGTGTATGTTATTTACCGAGGATGTCATTGTACCGCATTTTATGAATAAGTTCGCATTCATTGCTGTACTTAAATTCACGAATTTTTATGTCAATTTTTGCATGCATATACTCCTGTCCATTCTGTCCAGTACAGTATTTTCGTTCAGCAAATAAATTTTATATTAGTTTATCAAGAGCTTTTGTTGTATTTATATTAATACTACAAAGGCTACAATATTAATGTACTCTGAAAAACCGCCACAGATCGATGAAATTAATGTATCATTGCGTTTCATTTACGCATATACTCTTATTTAGATTCAGAACAAATTATTATTATTATTACTATTATTATCGCTGCTTGCATAATTTGCGGTCTCTTTGGGTAATTTTATAAAAGTAATCGTACAGTTCTGGCGGGAAATAATGGCGGGACAATTTTTTACTATATAGTTAGCCTCTTTTTACCAGGATAAAAAAATCACATTTCTTTCCCAAAACATATCTCTGGCATTTTAGAGCTGCAATATCCCGATCTGGGCGGAATTTTGATAATCGTAACAGAGTTAATCATTTGACTCGCGATTACATAAAATTTTACTAAATTAACAAAGTTTTCGCCCATTAAGACTAAATCGAATAATGTTACCAGATATAGCACTTATAATATTTTTAACATGTTAAACCGCGTTGACATGGGAGGAGAATATGTCATGTATTGATTTTTTAAGAGCATAATACCCTACTTGGAGGCATCTCAAAAATAAATATTTTTTTGTGTGGATGTTTTTTAAAAATTGGTAATTTTAAAAAAACCAACCGCCATTACTTTCCGCTGGAGCTGTAATCTCACTTTTTCGTTTTCTGATCAATTTATTTCTTGTTGATTAACTGAAGTTCAAGGTAAATACTCTTAGGGAAGTGGGTTTTATCACCTGATTTTGGGGGTCCGAGCGAATATTTGGTTATAATATAAATAATATATCCCTAATATTTTATATGTCAGGTGGGGGTAAGCCACATAATTAGGGCTGTTAAAAAGCTCATGTGAGTCGGTCTTTGAGTCGGCTTGGACTGAGTTGCTTTGAGTCTGAGTTTAGGCTCGGAGGGACCGTCTCCCAATAGTCACATGATAGATATATACATATGCCAATTGTTTTTCAAGAACAAACGAATCGACATAAATGATGCTGTTTTCGTAATGAACGCGAACAAAAGACATTCGATAAATTAGGTAGATAAGATTATTTATTATCATAACTTTTGAAATTATTAATTTAATGATAACATATACAGAACGATCATTGCCAAGACGGTTCAACAAAAACCTCTGGAAACAAATTGGTTAGTATCAATAAAGCAGTTGTGTTTAAGAAATTTGAACTATAAAAGTATTCTACCTTCTTTCCCTGTTTCTTTGTTTATCTATTCGTCAAAATGTCTAATTTCAGTTCGCTACTTCCCACAACTTCCGCAAGCTCACCAGTTCCTACGTTTTCCACAATTCCAAATCCATTTGCTAGTCTTTTAGCTGAGACCTCTGAAAGCGACAATAACCTTGGAGAAGAGTCTCAAAATAATGTAATCAATCATAAAAATAAACGTAAACCTGCTCCTTGAAGATGGTTCTCACAATTGCAAGCTTTGTAGTAATAAATGGGGGGGGGAGTACATCGTTATCAACAATAACGCGGCATTTTGAAAATAAACACAAGAAGATAAAAAATTTTGCTTGTAGAATAGATAAATAAGGGAAGTCTTTTATCAGGTGATTTCAATTTATTATAAGGCTCACCCCACCCACCACCTGATATATTATACAATATTATTTATATTGCTTATATAATCATCGTTGATCACCCTCCCCTAAAAATCACCTGATAAAAGAACACTTACTATCCTTAAATAATATTTAGTCATTTATCTTTCGTATTACTATTATAGGTGCACGTGAATAACAATCATGTGTCACATGACTGTGCTCAAGCCTGTCTTTTAGACCGAACCTCAATTAAAACTCGGCTTCTGGAGCCAATCGAACCTAACCAGACTTTTTAACAATAAATGGAAATCATCTGATAAAAGACACTTCCCTTATATATATGAGATTTTAAAAATCGATTTTAGAATCAACTTCCTAAATAAAAACCAAACTCAAATATAATATGTAACGGTAATGGTAATATGGAGTATTTACTCTGAACTCCGTTAATAGATAATCAATAGTGTGTTGAAGTTTTTTTTATCAATGACTTCAGTGCATAATTGATATTGCATATAATTATCGTAATTACTGCAATCATGATTTTTCTG